TTTGTCTCATACTGGCCAAACCTATAAGCAATGTCAGAGAATACATTATGATAAAATATGCATATAAATAAAGACTCTTTGCAATTATGGGAAAGTGGATCACAATAATCTTATAGTTGTCCTTCAAAAATAGCAGATATACACCTATAAAAGGCATTGGAATGCAAAAGCTTTACAAACACCAAGTTTTACTAAACCGAAATTTAAGCGGAAAAGCTAATAATTGCTCGCAATGATCGTAAGTTGTTTTGTTTGTAAATAATATACTTGTTCTCCACATTGTGCCCTTGTATTATTCAAACTTGAAGTTTTACAGTATTGCTAGGCATTCTTTATTCTCATTAGCTTTCATCGACGGAGGAACCATAAAAACCGACTTTCGGTTAAGTTGCACTTGTAAGCGCGACGCGTCTGTACTTTTAGTTCTTTTCCATATGATGAATCAGTCTAGTTTTTAACGACCAAACATGTGAAATAATATAAGGTAAGTGAAATAAAACTATTCAGAAATATTTACGGTTCCATATGATAAAAGTATTCCTTGCATGCACTGATTCCATATTGTTTCTACGTGCGTGTTGATGCTACTGACCGGTCAAAATCCAACTCTACTTCTTAATGTTTTGTTTATCCCATGGCCTGAGTCGCGACTGACTATATTAAGGGATGTTGAACTAAACTAACCACCGCGTTGAGGGAATAGTTCTCAAGGCGAACGCATTTTAGATAGGAGAAAATAAAACCTGTTGTTTCGGTATTGCAAAGGAATATTCCTCATCAACGGAGTGTGTTCTTGGTGACCTCACAAATATCTCATAGCGCTGTTTTCTCTTTTGTATATTCAGGAATATTTTTTATGCTTTTATTTGTTGTGTGCCTCTATACTACACTTATATTGTCCGTATTTGTTCTGTTACTCGTTATCATTCGATCATTTGCTGTACACATTTACGCATTCTGAAGACAATTGCATGTACTTATACTTTTCTTCAGTCCCGCCGCATTCGCCTAACCTTTCCGATCCTTTATGCCTTTTAAACCATAATGTATGCAAACCAAGCTTATGTATGATTAACATAATAATGATGCATTGAGATATGCTTCCTTTTTTGCGGTTCCGATCTTGTGTGCCTTCAGTAAATATTTTCTATCGCCTCCTAACCCTGACAATCCTTTTTACGATATGTGAGTGAAAGAGCATTAAAATATCAGTCCCTTCTTCCTATACCTTTTAAAGAATAATATTCTTGTACTCTATACTCTTGCTAATAATTTTTGTGCTGATATCGTTAACAGATCGTCCGAGTTTAATCTTTTGTGGTTAGTATAAGCAACTTTAGTTCGTATGACCCGAATACTTTACCCTGTCTGTTAAAATTTTGAAGGACGTTCACAAAATTATTAATTTAACAACCGATCGAAATACCCCCCTCATTCGTCACGACGTGCCACTGAGCCAGGTGTATTATCATGCTGCATTTGCGGTTTGACTGTTTCCCGCCCTTTGAGTCCACTTTTACAAAAGAAACGTTTGGTTTGCTCGAAATGTAATATAGATGTAAATGTTTCGGGGGTGATATTTACTGTCCAACTTCTACGCAAGTTTTTTTGGTGTTCGAATGAAAGTGGATGTACGAATCCCACGTTCTTGTTGTAAAAAAGTAACCGCTCAATCACTGCAAAAGTACGCATACCAACCTTAGCTTGTGAGTTTTCACTGGAACTCACCATTAGTGGTTCGAAAAATGCAAAAATGGATAGTTTTTGCATTCAAACAAGGAAAGAGGAGTAGGCGAAAGGGCAAGTGTCCATAAATGTTCTGCCTCCACGCTATCTAACTCATTGTGACCTCGCGACCTAGTGACGGCCACCGTTCTTGAATGGG